ATCTTTCCTAAGGAATTGACGCGACAATGAGACCATTTCTTAAACAAACGAGTCATTTGAGATTGCGGGGGGGGGGGGGAAGATACCCGAAAGAAGACATTACAGCAATTGAGTAACCGTTACAGGAGGATAACCAGACCACCAGCTTCGGGTTAAAGATCTGCCCACATTGAATTGCCTTAAATTTTAATCGGGATTTTTCTGCAGGTGCAAAAACAGCCCCGGGGGGGGGGGGCCTCAGCAGCTTAGCTGTCGCGTTGAAATCGCCCGATTGCAAGGCTCCGGATTAAAGAACCGAATTCGTCCCCTTCCCTTTCCTTCTCCGAAAAGACAAGGCCACGAAATCCTCTTCCTTCCTTCCTCCCTCCCCCCCCCCAAAAAAAGGTCACTCCGCAAGCCTTAACCGTTTCCGACGGGACCTCAGCACACGACGAGGCGTTTTGCGCCACTGGAGAGGTCTCCACAGCACTTCAGCCCTGTCAGGGAGATTGGGGGGAGGGGACGGGGCGGGGGGGGGAGAGAGGGTCAGCAGGGTGGGAGCATGCCCGCCCTCCCTCCCCTAGAGACAATCCCTAACTCAAACAAGTTCAACTGGGCAAGAGAAGGAGGTCCCAGGCGGCTTGGCGTCCAAGTAACCCCCCCCCCCCCGACCACCACCTCCCACTCCCCAATCCCGGAGGCAACCGGGTTTTTGCTCCCAATTGCAAGGGCGCTGACGATCCGGAGCGGGGACCTCCTAGGATCCAGGAGCTCAGGCTGTTCCTCTCCTCTTCCTTCGCCTGCTTTATCCGCTCCGAGGAAGGGTCCCGAGAAAGCCAAGGCTTCTTTTGGAACGCCGCGCCGAATCCCAACCTTCAGCCAGCTACGAAGGCTGCCGATCTGCACAGCCGCGTGGACCGCCAAAGGAAACATGGAAATCGGTTTTTATTCCCCAGGCTTGTTTACACAAGCGAGGTGCGAGGTACAAAAACTTCAAACCCCAGGAAAGAAAACTTTTTTCTCCCCCCTCCCTCCCTCCCTTGTGTACACAGGGGGAAGTGGTGGGGGGGAGGGAGTTGTGATTTGTACCGGCAATCGATCGGGAGCTTTGCCTGATTCTGTCCTGGAAAGGGGTTGTTGTGGTTTTTTTTCGCCCGCTTGTTTGGGCTGCGTTTGAAATCGTTTTGGTCTTTTAAATCTACGCAAGGGCGGTTGGCCAGCTTTTCTCCCGACGTTACCGCGAACGAACCTCGGCGTGTTAATAGTTCTGTTAAGCGAAATGAAGGGGTCAACACGCGCTTCCTGACCGCCTGACGGCATATTTGAGGCAGGGAAGGCGGGAAGAAGCCCGAAAGGGCGAAAGAACGGGCGAAAGAAAAAATGGACTTTTCAAGCTTGGAGCGGTTATTTATATACATTCCGTGAAAATATACACTGGAAGGGCTCGATGCAACGCAAAAAAAAAAAGTCTGTAAAATCAAATTTACAGAACGATCGCCGGGAGATTTCTTACACACACACAAACACATACACTTTGCCCACCCGCGAGCTGGAGCGACCCCGCACTCCTAAACCCGTTTGTCGGTTGCAGTTGTAGATTTCCCCTTGCCTGATGAGAATCCCTCAGGCCGCAGACGGTTGGACACAAATTTTCAGTACAGAACGTACTGTTAAAATCGGCAAGAACCAGATATTTTTTTCCCCTGAATATTAGAATACTGTATCAACATCTGGAATAAAGGAGAAATAAATTCACGTGTGTTCGTGAGCTTCTAAAGAGCTCATATTATGAGTACCTTAAATCCAATAAATCTGATAGAGACATTAATATAAATGGGCTTCTATCCAGGACTAGAGGAAAATCATCATGAACTGGGATGAAATCCGGATTTAGGAAGCCCTGTTTGATAAGGTCTGCTTTAAGCGGCAGTGAATCTGACATTTATCCAAATGCAAGACTTAAATCTTGTATCATGACTTTTATCCAATGAAAACTACTAGCCCGCCACCCCATCCCAAAACGTTAACCAAGATTTGCCTCCTCTTTTTATGGTGCAGGCTTCGCCTTCCCCAGAGCCTATGCATTAGCTTCCTTCTATCTTACTTGGCTATACCTCTCCAAAAGAAGTTGACGGGTCCAGAGTTAGAATGAGAAAAGAACTAGTTCCTGGGTTAGTTACAGTACCTTGATTAAAAAACTACTGGGTTAGTTAAGATGAGTTAAAATCTAATAATAAATTAGTTAAAACTCAAATTATCCCTGTAAAAGGTTTCTTGTATATTGATTTAATTCACACGCAATGTATTAAAACACTTAAGAACTGCTGTTTAAGACTACTGTAGTACTTAAACTGGCGCCTATTTACTTGCAGGTAAGTGGCAAGTAAGAATTCAGTAAAAAATCAGCTGACCATTGGCAGTGTTTTGCACTTGAAACAAATCCCACTGAAATTAGCAATTAGAATCAGACAAGGCAAGATAATTCTGGACAAATCCTAAACATTGCTTAGAAAAATTAGGCATTCCAGCCCAGGGAAGGTGGCTCCTTTTTGGCCTATTAGTTTTCTTATATAGACCATTGTGATTTTGCATTGCAACCATAACACATTCACTATTACATTCTCATAAAGGAAAATCGGTTTGGTTCCACTGAAATAAGTGTGTCAGCCACCATGTTCAATCTGTGGCTTCCTTGGGGACCATCATCAATCATGAAATGAGAATACTTGCTAAAAAGAGATTGTTAAAAATTGCTATGTGAGTACACTACACCTAATATGAAGAACTAACATAATCAATAGCTAATGTAGCTGTTAAAAGTGTGAGATAAGGATTGAAGAGAACTCCGTTTAAATTCCTGCCGAATGTCACTGCAAATTGTAGGCTCTCATTCAGGTTATTGGGATTTTGCATGGTTGCTATGTAAAGTACATAGCTGTGCCCATATAATTAAAAAAAAATGAGTTTCACACAAATTGATCTTTACCATTTAGTATAATGGCCTGCTAGATAGGGATGATGAAGGGTATTTGCAGAGCACCGGGGTTGGAAAAAGTTGCTGTTTAGATTGCCAAGTTAATCATGGTAGCTTTGCTTCATTGTAAATTTATTGCTCCTACTCATCTCTTTATGTTTTTATTGCAGTCCTTTTCGATTGCTTTATCTACTAGTTTGTTATTCTTGTTGTGTTTTTTGATGCATTGTTGGCTTGTTTGTATAGTGTTTCATTATCTTTGCATTAGCAGCTTTCAACCAGACAAGGAGCATTGCCCTTTAACCGTTTTAAAGAACATATATTTACACAGTAGTATTACAGTTCTGCCATCTATACATGTCTATTCAAATTTAAGCCATCAAATGAGCTTAAACCATTCAGTATACTTTACCTGCCCATTAATCCAGGAATCCTTATAACAACTTTATGAGATAGGCCAAGGATTTATCTGGTTCACACCTCAGCCTCTCAGGCACCAGAGGGTTTTAGTTCTTTGGGTCAATTTGCTCACTCCAGTTGGGTGCACGTGCTGTTCTGATCGCTTGGAATGAGAAGGTTCCAATTCACCTTTTTACATCCCAGCCCAACTGAATCCTATTTAAACAGGGCACAAAAGAAAGTGAGAACTTGTACAGTTTACTCATTGAGAGGAATAAGGCACATTTAGAGTTTGTATTTCCAACATTCATATTGCAATGCTTTTATTAAGAGTTTACTGAACGAGTGGTTTGATTGCTATGAACCGTGCAGTCAAATGTGGTTTTGCTATTCTTGTGACCTGCTTTGGATGTTATGGTTGCAAAGAAACATAAATATTTGTACAATTCTTTTCAAATAGGTGATGGGACAGCTTCTCCTAGAAAGCCAAGGTTTGAACAGAGCAGCTCCTGTCCTCACCATGTGACCGTTTGGCCTCATCTGCTTCTAACGTGGGAAATTTCTTTTTGCAAGTTTCACAAACGAACTTTTTTTCTGCAGTCTTCTCTCATCCCCTTTCAAAAATGTACATGAGCATGGGTGTTATGGTTAAAAAAAAAAGATAAATTATACTTTCTATTATGTATGCTGGAACATCCATTTCACTGAATTATATCCTCCTACAAACATCTCCTATTAAAACAGTTGGGAGAAAGGTGTATATGTCTTTTTCCTCTGCACCATTTGGGATTGTACAAACTGAAACCATTTCATAGTAATAGTAGCAGTGTATTATTTTGTTGTTATTTCAATGTATAATTGTCTTTCTACATGGAAGACCCTGCAATTCCTCGATCGACCAGCTTTCTTTTAATTGAAACTAAGCCTTAAACAAAAAGATTCCTGTGCTGTGGTCAAATTCTGCAGTATTGCACACGGATCAGGCATCCGCACACCAATCAGGCGCACGCTTCCTGAAAATGGTAGGGAAACTGAGTACAGAACCAGGAAGGAGAAGTTCCCATTCCTGAGTACCCCAACCGGTGAGAAAGAGAGAAATACTTGCTTACCTCTGCCCTGATCCATTTTGGCTTCTTTTGAAGAGAAAAGGCAGGCATATACGCCCTTGCACCTATCCTGCTGGCCTGATCCCAGCAACTGAGATTGAATTTGCTAAAGCAACCAGTTGTGGAAGGCCTGAGTGTTGCAGCAGGATAGAAGGGCTGCTCAGCAAATTAAAAAAAAGAGTGCAACCCGAAGGGGGTCTATTCAGGAGTCAGTTCCACTAAATTCGGTGAGGCTGAATATTTCATATAAGTAGATGTAAGATTGTTGGCCTAAGGTTTCATTTAACACCGCACACCAATTCAGTTATAATCCCATTGAGCAGAGTCAGACGTATTTCCGAAAGAAATACAGAGAACAGGCAGCTTTTCTAGTTTCCCTGCTATGACTAGCTGTGCTAGGAATGGGAGACCCTTCCACTAGTAAAAAAGGGACCCCTATCCTCCCCACTTGGTACAGCATCTACTGAACCAAGGGCCCCAAAGCAACAAGGATAGCATGGAATTCTGTAGACAAAATGAGCATAGTTTATCCTGGCTGCTTCCAATGCAAAATGACCCTTATTTTATTTGGGAAATGTAGTTATTTGGGAAATTTATATGCCCACCTACTCGCTCAAAGCGACTCTGGGCGGCTTACAAGCAGTAAAACGCAGTATAAAAAAAAATAAATGGAAGATAAAAAAAAAACAATAACACACACACACACTCCAGCAACAACACACAGTCAGATGAGCCATTTGGTGGGCTTGATTGCTGCAGCACGTGGGAAACCGTCCCCAACTGTCCCGCTGGCTTTGAGAGGACGGCGTCCCACTCCCATGACCCTCGACCGGCCCGAAATGCCCCACAGCGCTCCTTTCACCAACTTTTGCCCTGGACGCCCACGGGTGGCTGTCACTACTTGAGGCGCCTTTCGGCTGGGCTCTTCTAAGGCGGGGAAAAGTTGGCAGCCGGGCTCGCCCGCTCTTCTTCCCGACGGTATAACCCCTCCCGGTTCCTGCCTGCCCTGGGCCAGGCCCCTCCCTCCACAAGCCCTCTCAGCAAAGCCCTGTGGGTTTGCTGCGCCCCCGGCATTCTCAGGAGAGGCTGCTCCGGCAAGCTTGTCTCCACCCGTCCCTTTAAGGCACGACAGCTAGAAGGGAGTGTCGGCCGACGGCTGCTCAGCTGCAGAGAGAGCGCAGGCAGCCCCAGAGTCCCTGCCACGGCTGGGGTAGCTCTCCTCCTGGCTGGGCAAGGGGCGCCTGCAGCTCTCCAGAGGTGGTTAAAGAAGCGCCGGGCGAGGGATCGCATTTCTCCCTACAAGCGTTCCAGAATCGCCTCCACTCTCCAGCCTCGGAGGAGCGGCGTCTTCGGAGAGATTGGCTCTTTCCCGAGGCGTCGTCCCACCATCGCCTCCAACCATCGCAGGAACCCGGCAGGTATTTCAAGACCGCTTCTTACCTCCCGAATCCAGTAGCCCCGATCCTTCGCTTGAGTCGGTAAGCGATGGAAGGTCTGAACGCGCTTTGCCGTGCTGGTCCTCGACGGTCGGCTTCATTTTAGGTCTGCCGGGCATCACAGATTCAGACTGCCCAGGAGGTTGAAGGTCCGAACGGGCATCGCCCCAGATTTCTCCCAGAAGTTCTCAAGCCCCGGCGCCCGAACACCGAGGACTCCAAAGCCACTCTCTTCGCAACCCCACCTGCGTCCGCACTCTTAGATCACTGCCAGACCGAGGGTGCTTTGAAGACTCTCCTTCGGACGGCAGCCGGGAACAGCGAGGCTGGCGCACCCCCGTCTTCAAAGTTACCCGCTGATTGCCTGGAACCTACATCGCCGTCGGAGGCGGAGGCAGAGCCTGGGATGACGGCTGAAAGCTCTCAACCGACGGCTTGCGCGGTGGGCCCCCCTGACGCCGAAGCCGAAGCCGCCTCCAGGCTTCCCGCGCTGGTGAAGATGGAGCCGGCAGCCCCGGCAGAGGCCCTGGAGCCGGAGCCGTCGGAAGAAGACGTGGGCGCGATGGGGGGTTCGCGGCCCATCGGACGCCGCAGGAAGCGGCCAGTTCAGCGCGGGAAACCCCCGTACAGTTACATCGCGCTCATCGCCATGGCCATCGCCCACTCTCCGGAGCGCCGCTTGACCCTGGGCGGCATCTACCGCTTCATCACCGAGCGCTTCCCTTTCTACCGTGACGGGCCTCGCAAGTGGCAGAACAGCATCCGCCACAACCTCACGCTCAACGACTGCTTCGTTAAGGTACCCCGAGAGCCCGGCCGGCCGGGCAAAGGCAGCTACTGGGCCCTCGATCCCCATGCCCGCGACATGTTCGAGAGCGGTAGCTTCTTGCGCCGCAGGAAGCGCTTCAAGCGCAGCGACCTTTCCACTTACCCGGCTTACATGCACGAGGCACCGGCCCAGCCCGTCGGGCCTTCGCTGAGCTCGGCCTATGCCTCTCCTGCTGCTCTCTGCTACCCCTCCCAGCCGCCCCTCTTCAGCCTGGGCCCCCTCATGGCCCAGCCGAGCCCAGAGCTGGTGCAGCAGCATAGCGTGGACATAAACTCTTCTCCCAGCAATGCCTGCTCCTTTGCTGGGCCTGCAGCCTATTCCAACCAAACCTGCACTGCAGCCTCGGGCCTAGCCAGGCCCCACAACACCATGCCTTACTCCTACGCCATCCCCAGTGCCCAGCAGCTCCAGGTTAACCAAGGGTCTTATTCCCAGACTAGCAACAGTAACCTCTTTGGGGCTTCTGCCCGTCTAGGAGTGCCTACCTCACCCTCCATCACTAATGACACGATGGATTTCTATGGCAGGATGTCACCTAGCTCCTACAGCTCTTTCGCTCATGGGTACAATGCCAGTGGGCAACTCAGCAGTCCCGGAGCGTACCTGCGTCACACCACTTACTCCAGTAACATGGAAAGGTTCGTTTCGGCCATCTGAAGCCAAGGAGGAACTTGGGGAAAAAGAGAACAAGGCAGGGCAAGGGGGCGAGATCTCTGGTTATATTATCTTCCCCTTGGGCTTAGGTTATCGTCATAAGCATGTTATCCTGCACTGGCAGGAGGGTTGTGGTGTTCATTCAGTGCGACTACACATCGATATGCCAATCAGTGCCATTATTTAAGTCTGTAAGAGGAACAGGACAACGGAGGTGTCCACAGTACAGGGCTGGTGTAAAGATTTAACTTTGTGAAGCGAATGCACTATACAGTATGAAGCTAGTGACTCTGCTACGTAGATGGGGGTGTTGAGAAGACACAGAGGATCCTTTCAGGCTGTGAGCTGTGAAATACACCAGCTATTAAAGCCAAAGGCAATACAACATATTAGACCTTTTTGTGTACTTTTCCATTCCTGTTAACTCTCCTCCACTTTTGTTTTGTGAGCTCCCTCTTTACAAAATAATCTGTTGTAGCAGTAGCCTCAGTAAGTAGTAAGCTTCTTCTTTTTCATTTTTTTTACCTAGCCCAATTATTAGCAATATTATGAATAACTAGTAGGTGTATGCTTAATACCCTCAATGTCATGTTTTCAGTGACTCACAAGTTCATTTGGAGAAATAAATGAGTTGATGATTCACCCTTCTGTTTGAATGCTTTCTGCTGGCTTTGGAAATGCAATAAATACTCTTTGAAACTGATTTTCTTGGAAAGTTCTGATTGTAGCTGTTATTTTCAGTTAGATAGCTTTTGTTGCAGCAGATAAAGGAACTTGCCTTCACATTTCAGTGTGCTTATTGTTCATTGACTCAAGTCAGATTTCTTTTCATTTTTGTTGGTTGTAGAAATGTATGCTTAGCAGTTGTATAGTCAGCTATATAGTTGGATAGGAGTACACTTGCTAATTGCTTATACATAAGATATAAGAAAATGTCAAATTCATCCCAGTGCCCTAGAAAGAAGACATTTGTCCATATTCAGTAAAATTCCCTGATTTTAAAATTCAGCTTCAATCATTGCTATTGAGAAATACATACTGTATTCAGAGAAATACATACTGTTATTGTATGTTTTCTGATTAGTAAGAATAACATAGTAATCAAATGATTCACCTGAAAAGGCAATTCTAATTTTTCAAAATGATGCTTTTTACCAGGTGTTTTTTTTTTTTTTGAAGTCTTCTGCTCACCCGCTTTACTTATCTGTCATAGCAATCAAGACTTTGATATTATTGTACTGGTAGTTGAGGCAGAAATGCAAGGAAAAGCTGGAAAATGAATGGCTAAACTCATATAATTTACTACTGTACATTACTTTTAAAAGCAAAATCAGTAAAATTCTGTAGGTTATTGTCTTGCAATCCTGGATCAAAAAGCTAGCTTTTTAATAAGAACCATTGGAATCAAGACTTCCATGAGCTGAAAGCAAATCCAAACAAGACTAATATCACATGTCCATATAAATAACATAGTACAACAATTCAGGGTAATATAGATCACATAAATAAGCAAACATTTGAATATTTACACAAATGTAAAAGCTGAAAAAAAATCTCAACCTTCGTTAAGTTAAAAAGCCCTAATGAGACTTTGCTTAATGTTCTATGCATAGGACGTTCTTTACACAGAAAACATTCCAAATTCAATTTCCATAGACATGCACCTATAATTTTGAAATGAATTTTCTATCATAACATTCATATGATTTACATGCAGAGTTTGAATCAGATGGTGTGGACAATCATTCCTTTCAGGATGATAAACTTGACTTACTGAGTTAGACCAAGAATATCATAATCCAGCATTCTTTAAGAAATAGTGGCCAATTAGATTCCTCCGGATACTTAGAAGGCATGAAATTCAGCATATTCCTGCTCTTGTTTGTTCCCGGCATCTGTATAGCTTTACTCAGGTAAAGCATTTATGAAAATGGATTTCATTTAGTAAAAAACATAGAGAGAAACATCATCTATGTAATGTGTCTAATTTTTTAAAGTTAACGGCTATCACCAGTAATTCGGATAGGTTTTCATATGTTAATTTTTTGTTCAGTGTAGAAACTGAATTAATTTGATAAAAGGAGAAGGGGTGGGAATTGATTGAATTTATTGCCAATTAATTGTATGCAGTTGAGATGAAAATACTGTTCTTCAACCACAGACCAATTGATATCCCTTTTATTCTATTGTATTTCTGGCTTTGTTGTCCAAGCATGTGCAGAGGTATACAAAAAAGTTCTGGAATTCTGTTTTATATAAAAATTCTGAAAACTTTGTTTTTGCTAAAATACTGTCAGATTCTGTATCAACAAATTACATGTCCTAGGAAACCTTGTATCCTTCAAATAGTTCTTGTTCCATTCTTTTTCTCAGTATTTTCAGCCAAGCATCTACTGTACGTATGCCTCTATCTGGAAAAGACAGAAAGAACCCAAGACAAAAGGACAGCGATCTATCAAGTGAAGTGGCCTTTGTTCAAGCCTTATATGTGGATCAAGATGGACATTAAATTAAATATGTTGCTTCTCCCATCCCTTGTTTTTTGTCATTAGTAGCAGGTGAATTGATCCTGTATTGCAATTATTGCTATGCAGGTGTAAATTGTACAGCCAAACAGCATAGGAAAAAAGGATTGAGTTTTCTTCCTTGTACCGCAAGATGGAAGGACAGTTGCAGTTTACATACTTCATCTATTGCGTAGTTTGCCTAATATTTTAAGCTTTCTATGAAAAAAAAATCTGCAGTTTGTTTTGCTGTGGCATCCACATAAGTAAACTATTTTAATTATTTTAAAGGTAGTTTGAGAAAGAATTCCACAAGGATAATTTAGACTGCAATAAATTATATTTTATTCCATTCACTTTATAATTTGTAAAACATTGAAAGGGTCTTTTGATGAGGTTTGAACCTTAGGGAGCAATCCATTTTTTGACAGAGTTCGCTATGCAAGCACTGACTTTTCTACTAAAGTGCCTGTGTATGAGAGAGGTGATCTGAGAACGCTCTGATGCATGGATTCCATCTATACAGAATGGTGAGCAGTCCTGTTGGGCCAAACTATTTTTTTACATGAACCAGGAAGTCTTTGAACAATGATTTTCATTGCAGGTGAAAAACAACAGTGTGTATGTGTGTGTGGGGGGGGAGATGTTACAGGGATGTTTCTGCTGTTTCTAGTCTAGAGGAACTGCAGGCATTACCACACATTCCCCAGAACAATTGGAAAAACTACTGCTCTAAAATAAAAATGAACAAAAAGCCGAATGAACCAAAGCAGAGGCAGACAGAAAGCAAGACCCAGACTTGCTGAAATCTTGGGTGATTGATAATAGACCTGTAAAGGTTTCCGAATCCCACACGATTAACAAAAGGCTTTTTCCTTCTGTAAATTAAGCTGCTGAAATAAAAAAAAGAAAGAAAGAAGCACCAGATTCAATTTTAGTAATGGAAGCATCATCTTGATTTCTGCTCTGTGCTCTAAGGTAGAATGCTCCTTAATTTGCTATGTAGGTGCTTGACCTCTGCAACTCTTTTGCACCTTGCATCAGTTGATTGAATTTGGGGTCTCAAGAGTAATAATTTAAAAATGTAGAAATTTGAAGTTTGTTCTCTGTAGTAAAACATCAAAATCGGTACTATTTAGGTCGCTTCTTTGTATATTCTATAGGGCCCTTCTGCATGATATCATTAGCAAGGAAAAGCTGTTCCTAGTTCAGATATGATTTAATTGAAACCTCAACAAGGGCAGGTATTAGGTTGGCATTAACCTTACTGTTAATGTTGCCTTTAGATGCTGTAACTCCATGTCACCATTGGATGGAACTCTTGTCTCATTCTTTTTCCTGGCTCCTGAGTTTCAGGTCCCATGAGGTTAATGCTGGCCTAATAATTTAGCAGCCTCCCTCAATAGTGGAAAGAACAGAAGTAAAATTGGCAAGAATTTGTTTCCATATTCACTTCATTTGGGGACAAAATCTTCCAGGCTCCTGGCCCTTTCTTTCTTTAATTCCTTTTGTAGGGAAGAGAAATGCATTGAGAGGAACAAGATGATTGTTGTAGGACCTCCAGTTGCTCAAGTCAAGACAGCAATTTTCTACACTTGTTCTTGGCATAAAGACAATTATGCTTTATAGGAGTATGCAAAACATTTCAAATTCATAAAATAGATATTCATTTATTAGTTTCCTAAACCTTTCACTACCAAAGTCTCTGAGGGGTATATAGAAACCAAACATATTAATATAAGAAATTCCACAATAAATTGAATTATTATTTTAAACATTTCTAAATCTCCAGATCCATCTGTTTCAAACTCCGACCTTGGATTGCCTTCAAGCTGCTTCTACGTTGAGAAGTAAAAATGTCAACGGTATAGAGTTTCACTAGCCTATATTTTTTTCTTTTTATTCTTATCAGGCAAAATCAGCAAAGCAGGAGATGTGTGTAATTATATTACTTTGCACATGTATACATGGACTACTCACTCAGTCGCTGTTATGAGCTTCCCATGCATGGTCTCAAATATATAATTTATATATATAAAAGGAAAAAGAGAAGACTGTGGGGCTAAAACCCATTGCCATAATATGTAGATTGTTCTAAATAGAGAATTCCAAATGTTAACCGTCTAAAGACCTACAGTGGTTTGACTTTTTCCCCTCAGCAGATTATTTGAAAATAATAATTGTGGAAAATGACAGAAGTATATAAATTAGAGAAGTTGCTTCTGAGAGGGGTCTAAAAACTTGTAAGAATGAGGCAGAAAAATTGACTTATTGTTTCCATGTTATTCTGTGAAGAGATTAAAAAAAAACATAGGTGCATTCAGTCACGTAAGTCCCATCTGTGGTACACAGTGGTGTAGCACAAACATTCACTTCCCCAATGACTACAAATAAGGAACATAAGGAGAAAAAAATGTTGGGGAGGCATTTGTCTTTGCTTGCTCCTCTGTATTATTCATCTTTGTTCTTTCCTGTTCTAACACATTATTAGATGGGTGCAAAGCGTCTCCTTCTAGAGTTCCGATATGAAGAAGTGATGGCTGCTATTATCTGGCAGAGGCATTCTGCTTACCTCTATTTCAACTTCCCAATCTGGAGCTACACAATGTCTTGGATGATAGTTACCATTGTCTTCCATCATCATGGTTGAAGATAATGATCCTTCCAGGCTAAGGCATGTTAAAGATACTAGATGAAGAAGCTACTTCATTTGAACATAGGTCAGTAAACCCAACATTAAAAAAATACAAAATCCCCTGGGCTGAATCGTCCAAAGGTAGACACAGTCACTGAGTATTTCAAAAAGAAGAAATTGCAGGAAAACTACAACAAAGGCTACCAGTTTTTTATTGCTCACACAAGAATGACAGGTATCATGTAGCCTAACAACTTTTCCACATTGAATAGGAACAATTATTATCCACACCCAACTTTTCAATTAAAAGCCAAATAAATTTTGCTCCAAGTGATCATTTTCCAAAGACTGGGGGTCCTCTGATTCTTCTGGTCTTGATGTCTCCTCTAGTCCTGGTTGGTGGGCTGAGGGAGGGGGGAATAAAAAAGGTATCACATACAAATATTTATATTGGTTTAGTCTAAATAATGCTAATGTCTCTGGGTAATAACTATAACCAAGATTAACTAAGCACTGTCTAAGCAAAAAGGAGTGAAACATCAACTCCCAAATTGATTATACAGTAAATAATGTCTTCAAAGATTTTTTTAATTGTTGATGACATATTCATAGTAACAGAAACAAAGAATTAGAACGAGCAATTCTTCAAACACGACTGTTTAGAAAACCAATAGTTTTCACAACAATAGTGTTTGCAAGGTAAAAATTAGATGATATATAATCCAGATGCTATTTCTCTGCTACCTAGGGCACCTGCTACTTTAAACATTTTATGGTCTTTCACAAACCATTGTATTTGTGATTATTTCTCTATAATCCCCTTTGAGATTTTTCAATACAATAAAAAGCTACATTCAAATCTTAAAATAAAGCCAAAGTGTACAAGCACAAAAAGGGATTCAGAAATGAAAAAGAAATTACAATAGGTATTGAAATCGTCTTTTTAATACTTCTGTCCATTAAAGCTGGGCTATAGTAGTTAATCAGTTAGAGTCTTTGATGGCAGAACCACCTCAATCACACTGAATTACAGAATTACATTTTGCCAATGCTGGCACAAGTGACTTATGGAAAGGTATAAGAGGAGACCCCTCTCATTCTACAAAGGGAAGCCAACTGAACTGAAAGCTGTATTCACTTTAACCTGGACAATGGTATAGATTCTCCCTCAACCTGAAAGGCAGAAACCTAGTTTACAGCTACAGAGTAGACTATAGCTATATATTTATTTTATTTCCTAAGACTTATCATTAACTGTAGGAACGATCTAGTGTTTACTACTTCTATTAAAAGTATTTTCTACTTGGTTAAGTGAGCTCACACTCAAACGGACAGGTTACATATGATGCAACAGACTTATCATCAGATCTGTGATACATTTATTCTATATTTCAAAAGTACTGTGGAAGGGTTTGAATGCCAAACAGTGAGGGGAAGTATTCCATATCACTTTCCTCAGGGCTTTTTTTGTCATAGAAAGCCCGGAACGGAGTTCCGGCACCTTTTTTGGATGGAAACTTATAGGGTAGGCAAGGCGGGTGGTATGACGTGTGTGAGTTCCGGCACCTTTTTTTTTTTTTTTTTTTTACAAAAAAAGCACTGACTTTCCTACTCTAAATATAAATACCCCAGGCAAAGGATTACAAATATATACAATAGCACTATATGGCATGTGACCAGGATACTTGAGAGACTGCCTCTTCCTGGTTACATCTACTTATCCCATCAGATCCCACTGGAGAGGCATGTTGCCAGCCCTGTCTACGAAGGAGTGTTATCTGATAGGATCTAAAAAGAGAGTCTTTTCTGCCGTGATGCCTGCCCTTTACAACATTGTTTCTCTGGAGCTTAGCTCCAAACTTGTGGGCCTTTAGCTAGACTTTGAAAATATGGCTTTGCCACCATACTTGGAGATCTGGCAGTAGGGGAGAGCCTCTTCAATAGCTATGCAGAAAGCGGGCACTGACTGGATTCTGCCACTGATTACGATTATTTTTTCTTTTTTTTAATATAGTCTCATTGACAGTTTGTCTGTTTATAGGCCTTTTGTTTGGGGTACTGTTTTAATTGTTGAGAGCTGCCCAGAGCCACCGAAGTGAGATGGGCGGCTATGCAAACAGAATGAATGAATCAATCAATCAATGAAATGTTAATCTATTATTTGGCCCAGAGATTGTTGCAGTTGTCCTTTCAGCCAAATTACTAAAGGAGAACATGAGGCATTGCAATGATGGAAGAAATGAGAAGCTGGCTAAGTTAAATTTAATAGCCCTGGAAAAACTCTAACTAGGGCTACCAAATAAGGGTTGCAAAAGACGACCACCGGCTGACTGCTCTTTGTTGTCCCCTGATGGTCATCAGAATTTTTGCAGATCAGATATGACATCTTTGC